GGGGGGCTGGACGGTGTGGCTCATTGATAATGCAGTTGCCTAATAATTGTTGAGACCCTGGGACCAAAACACCCATGTGGAGGTAATTTAATTGTTGAGACCCTGGGACCAAAACACCCATGTGGAGGTAATTTTTTTAAATGATGCAAATGTGTGTTCACCTTTAATCTCAGCACTGGGGAAGCAGAGGTAAGCAGAGCTCTAAGAGTTCGAGGCCTTTCTGGTCTACATAGTGAGACCCTGTCTAAAAACAAAAACCCACCCAGAAAATTTCGTTCACACAGAACTTTACATTACACTCTGGGGTGTGTGTGTGTGTGTGTTGGAGGACAACCTCGGCTATCTTATCCCCACAATAGGAACGTTAGGATTACAGACATACCCCCAGCTTCTCGTAGACGCTGGAGAGTCGAACTAGGTCTTCACACTTGCACGGTTAGTGCTTTTATGCGGCATCCCAGCTCCACACATTCTCTTATAACCGAAGTCTGCCTGCCTGGTAAATCTGTTTCTTAACTTCTCTCAAAGTCACCCGGCAGGGCTGCAGCTTGGGACCCCACCCCACCCTACCGCCACACATGGCCAGGTTCAGCCGGGTGCAGGAATGAGGTCGGCAGCAGGAGGCAGGCACACTGCCAACTGTGTTGGCCACATCTGGCCGCTAAGCCTCCGGATCTGGATGGTCCCCATTTTCCAGGCAAGACAAGTTGAGCTCCACAGCGGCTGGGTGGCTCGCCCGCGACAGCGACCACGCCGCCCCAGACTGGAGCTGCCTGAGGGAACAAGTTCTAAGGCCAGCACCTGGGCTGACTCCCAGTTCGGGATTCCCGGGGGTCCGATTGGACCTGCCCAGTCCCGAGTGGCCGGCTGGGCTACTTTCGTGCTGCAGGGGTCTGCTCGCCCCGTACAGGGTGAGACCTGAAGCCCTGAATCCTAGTGGGGTGGGCATGGTCACTGGGGGCGGAGGGATGAGGCGGGGCGGGGGCGCCAGCTCATTTCCCGGTCGCAACAACCCGGAAGGCTGCGGACCAAGGGGGAAGTGACTGGGCGTGGGGCCCTGCACCCGAAGTAACGGGGCGACACGGGGAACTGGGATCTAAAGGCTGACCCAGGAAAGTGGAGAGGGGGCGCGAGGGCTGGGGCTGTGCCGCCTTGATGGCGTCGAGTGCGCGGGGAATTTCTGCGGTTCCTCCCACCGCGCCCCGCATCCCCAGAACGCAGCCCCCAATAGCTCCTCTCCAGTCCCACCCTCGCCGGGAGTCCCATCAAGGCCCCCAAGCACACGGCCCTTCATTCCTCTTACCCCCATCCCCCTCACCGTCGAACATAGCTTCAAGTCCCCTGACTTCTAGATGGCCTTATACCCCCCCCACACACACACACACCGCGCGATCATCCCACGCCCCTCACCTCGGGGCGCCCCGGCCGCGGACTCTGGACAGTCGACGCGCCGAACCGGCTCTGAGACCCGCGCAGCGCAGCAGCCACTTCCTCGTGGGCGGGGGGCGGGGCCTCCGGGCACAGCCCCGCAGGGACCGGGGGCGGGACCCGGGCGGCTGTGGCCAGATCCCAGGGCACGCCCACCCCTCGAGGTAAGAAGCCCGCTGACCGCAGTAAAGTCCAGCTCAGCTCAAGATTCGCTTGGAGAGCGCACGTTGTCTCTCCTAACTACTTTCTGCGTGGGGAAACTGAGGCTGGGAGAGAGGGAAGCCCGAGCTCGGGCCACCAAGAATGCAGACACACTTTGAGACCACACGCAGGCACCCCGGAACTTAGTGACCCCTGCGTGCCTCCGCCCCTCGCACTCAACTAGAGGCCCTGGCGGTAGGCGGCCTCGCCCCGCAGATCCTCAGGGTCCCAAAGTAGCAGAGTCGCTGGTGTCCAGGCAGGGGAGCACCTCCACCCCAGGTGACTTCTTGCTCTGTCGTCCCACACACTTCACTCCTGCAAGTTACCTGGGCCGCCTTGAAGCCACCCAGGGAGTGCTCCAGGGTCATCCAGGCCGGTGGTTTCTGAGGTCACTTTGCCCCCCAACCTGTGAGAGACCCTCCCTAGACTCCCAGCAGTATCCTGTGTCACTAATTCTGGCATAGTTTACACTGAGAAGATCCTGAGCACTTCCTCAAGGAATGGCTATCATGGTTAGAGGTGCTTAAGCCTGTGGCGACCCACACCCAATCAGGTTCAAGTTCTTCATTGGCTGCATAACTAGTTCAAGGCCAGCCTGGGTTAGGCGAGACCCTGCCTCAAAAAAGCAAAGGGGCAATCAAGATGGCTCAGATGGCAAAGTTGCTTCCCACCAAACCTAAGGATCAATTCAATTGGTTCCCGAGAAACCACAGGTAGAAAGAGAAAATAAACTCATTCAGGTTGTCCTCTGACCTTCACACATGCTATGGTATACTATAGTGTAAACACACACACACTCACAGGGTTAATCAATGTGTGTAATACTTTTTTTTGTTTTGTTTTTTTCAAGACAGGGTTTCTCTATGTAGCCCTGGCTGTCCTGGAACTCACTCTTAGACCAGGCTGGCCTCAAACTCACAAGATCCACCTGTCTCTGCCTCTGAGTTCTGAGATCACAGCACTATGTCTGGTGAAATAAAAAATATTTTAAGTTTGGAGTGGTTCCCACAGCCCAAGCCCAGTGAATCTTTTTCTTTTTTCTTACTGTGGTTTGGGATTCGAACTCAGGACCCTACACAGTAAGCAAGCATTCTATGGTTGAGCTACATCCCCAGTTTTCACTTTTTCCATTGTCTCCTTGAATTTCTGGGGCTGGACTTGAACTCAGGCAGGCAGGCCTTGAACCTGTGATTCTCCTGCCTCCATTCTCCCTGTGCAACCAGAAGATTTGGTTCAGATTTGCATGAGTTACTGCTCCTGTCACCAAGACAGAGGAACCCTCATCCTGGGTCCCCACCTTGCTGTTCCTCTAGGTTTGTTTCCTTAGCCTTGGCAAAGTCAGGTTTCTTTGGTTTGGCTAGAAAAAAAACACTGTACCAGCGACATTCTTCCCATGGGACAGTACTTCCCTGGCTTCCGTTCTGTTGTCCCTGCTCAGCTCAGTAAGAGCCCAGGGTAAAAGCCTGGAAATGGCCCCAGGAGGCCTTGAGTGATCTGACTCTGTTAGCTTATGGCGTCCTCTGTCCTGAACTAGTGACCTAAAATGACCCAGCCTCTTTAGTGGGTGAACAAAGTAAAGTCAAGCCACTCTAGATAGTGACCCACTGCAGCGAAGCCCTTTCTGGGTGAGCTGTATGAGCAAAGGGCAGGAGCCTGGAAGAGGAGATGAGACCTCAAAGCAGAACACAGAACAAGGCAATCCCACGGAGAACACCAGAGCTCTGGTAAACTCTAGTCAGTTTGAGCTCAAGCTGCCTTCAGGAGGGTTGAGAGGCATGGAACAAACTCTCCCTCTCTCTCTCTCTCTGGTGGTGTTGGGTAAGGAACCTAAGGCTTTGCACATGCATGAAGCCACACCCCAGCCCCTCACTGGGGGATTCTAGGCAGGGACTCTACCACTGGGCCACACCCTGGCCCCTATCTGCTTTGAGTCAGCTTTCAGGTTTTTATGAATCCCTGAGGACTGCTGAACTGAGGTAGTCTGACGGGATGAAGAAGCTCATGATTTGTGCTGCAGCAGCCGTGTTCATGTCGCTGGCTCTCCTGTCCTCAGACCCTCCTGGAGAAGCTGCTGGTAGGATTCAGCGCCATCCAGAAAATGAGGAGATGATAAAGCTGTGCTAGAAAACAGAATAGAATTCTGGTTCTGCCACTTAACCTTTGCTCTGCCTCAGTTTCCACGTCTGCAAAGCGAGGCTTTCAGGCTCTGCCTCTGACCCCTGCATCCTGGAAGGAAATACTAGATATTAAGCAACTTTGGAAGCCTTCTGTTAAAGGGTCTCCTGCTGATAGCGCTACTGAGATGTGATTGGATCAGGAAGGTGAGTCCACTGTTCTTAGCTGAATTCAATGCTCGCAGCTGGAACCCGAGAAGAAAGTCACCGGGGAAGTGCCTTGAAGAGTCCATCTTCACCTGCTGGCCCTCCCTCTGCTTCCTTCCTGCTGTGTGGTGAGCAGCTGGGCTGCCACACTCCGCCTGGAGCTGAGTGACCAGGGGTCGAAGTGATGGATCAAAGCAGATTGTGCGTGCGTGTGTGCTCGTGCACAGATGCCAGACGTCAGCCTCCCTTAGACAGTTTGTTTGGAGTTTCTCCCTGGCCTGGAATTCACTGACTGTTAGGTTGGCAGGCCTTTGCACCCCAGGAATGTTTTCACCTCTCAGTGGAGGGATTATAGGTACATGCCACTAAGCCTGCTTTTGTTTGTTAATTTTTGAGACAGGTTCTCACAGTGTAGCCCTAGCTGACCTGCACTCACAGAGATCTGCCTGCCTCTGCCTCCTGAGTGCTAGGATTAAAGACGTGTGCTATCATGCCCAGATAGCTCTTTTATTTATTTTTCTTTTTTTTAAAGATTTATTTATTATGTATACAACATTCTGCCTCGATGTATGCCCACACGCCAGAGGAGGGCGCCAGATCTCAGTACAGATGGTTTTGAGCCACCATGTGGTTGTTAGGTATTGAACTCAGGACCTCTGGAAGAGCAGCCAGTGCTCTTAACCTCTGAGCCACCTCTCCAGCCCCTTATTTATTTTTCTTAACATTTATTTATTATGTATACAGTGTTCCACCTGCATACCAGAAGAGGGCACCAGTTCTTATTATAGATGGTTAACTACCATGAGGTTGCTGGGAATTGAACTTAGGTCCTCTGGAAGAGCAACCAGTACTCTTAACCCCTGAGCTGTCTCTCCAGCCCTGCTTTTTTATATTTAGATTACTTATATATGTATAAGTGTTTTGCTTGCATGTATGTGCACCACATGTGTACAGTACACACCAGGATTGAAGAGGGCATCAGATCCCCTGAAGTGAAGTCACAGATGGTTGTGAGTTGCCGCTGGGAACTAAACTCAAGTCCTCTGCAAGAGAAGTCAAATGCTCTTAACCACTGAGTCCACCCTCTCTCCCTTCCAAGACAGGGTCTCTCTACATAGCCCCGGCTGTCCTGGAACTCATTATGTAGACTAGGCTGGTCTCAAACATACTGAGATCCCTATGCCTCTGTCTCTGTGCTGGGATTAAAGGTGTACGCCACCATACCTGGCTTTTTTTTTTTTTTAAGTGACTTCTGGGGCTGGAACTCAGGTCCTTGCAAAACAAGCCTCCACCATCTTCCCAGCCCCTTTCTTTCTTTTGTTCTTGTCATTTATTTATCATAGCCGTTAAAACTAGGTGGTGCAGATGGTAATGCCTTCTGCCAGTTGTCCTATGACCTCGGCGTATGCACTGTGGCGTGCATGCCCCCGATATAAAATAAATAAAAACACAGAAATGAACTTTCAGACTGCAAAGCAATAGGAGGCTTGTTCTCCTCTCCCCTCCCCTTTCCCCACCTTCCACCTCAGGGTCTCAGCCTGTCTCAGAATTCAAAATCCTCCTGCCTCAAGCTCCCTGGTGCTGGGGTTATCCTGACATGGGCACCAGAGGGGGAGCTTTAGGACTTCTAATGAAGCAAGTCTTTGGTGGGGAGGAGCTCGGGAGACTCCATCTTGGACAGCTTTCTGTCTCTTCCAGGAATCTGCACAGTGCCTTGGGAATGATGATGACCTGCTCTATTTTTTCTGCATCTCTGGTTTCCAAAAAATGCAGCCTCATGTGCACTTAGGAAGAGGGAGCAGGTGGGGCTGCTACAGCATCGTCCATTAGCACGTGCTGGCTCTCACCCCACCCCCACCCGCCTTGCTGCCTCCTGCACAGTGGACTGGACTGGCCAAGAAGGTAGTGGGAGGCCTTCCACAGCAGCTCCCTTTTGTTTCAAGGGTCAGAGCAAGCGATTGAGGTCAGACAACTGTCAGCAGAAGAGAAACTTCTGTCCACCCAAGGCCAAAGGTCCAGAGGGGGCATGGCCACCAGCAGCCATGGCATCCCAGCCCAGCTCTCAAGGGCACTCAGCTGCACACCCACCTTCTCAGTCAGAACAGTACACTGACAATTGAGAAACTCAAGTCTAGAATGAAACCCTTCAAAGTGTGTTCCTTAGGAAGGTCCAAAGCCTGGTGTGGTGGTGAGCACTCGGGAGGCTGAGGCAGGAGGATGCCTAGCCTTGCCCAGTGGGGAGCATGCACAGTGGTTACTGCTGGGGTTCTGGTTATTCACTTCCTCCGGTGCACTTGAGTTTTGTCAGCCCTCACGTGTATTGGGAACAGCAACCATAGAGGTCTTGTGCGCACTCAGCACCTACCTTGGCATATTCAAGCACACAAGGCCGTGTTGACGGAGTTCCTGATGTCAGGGGCGACTGATGCAGGGCCAACAGGCCAGCTCCCAGGTGCTGCTGCCACGCCCTCTCTTGGAGATAATAAGGTCTGCCATGTGTCATCAAAAGGGTCATTTTCTTTCAAATTTCTTAACATTCTTAGACCCTTGCTAGCCAGTCCCCAACAGAGAGCAA